GTGTACCTAGTTTTTCTTAGTGCAGCCACTGACCAATGTGATTAGTTTGATTTTCCCTCCATGTGGTATTTATATATTTTTGTTGGATTCGCAATTTCCCGACCTGCGCTATTTGTAGCAAGCCCACGAGGTGCGCTTGGCCATGAAGGAATTCCAAAACTCTGCGGGAAACTAGATTTGCTGGATATAACCACGTGCCGCTCGACGCCAAGTTTACCCTCCCTCGGTGAAAGTTTTTTACGGTGGGCGGCGAAATTGCAAAGGCAGCCAAATGAATGTTGAGAGCATAAAAAGCGTCATTCAAATTAAGGACATTATTCCTTTCACCGCCCCATTTCCATTTCCCTCGCGCGTTTCTCAAAAGTGCGAGTGTGTAACGCATTTAAATGGAAATGTCAGCGTTGCGGAAATTCGCAATGGTTTTAGCCCTGCTACCTGGCTTCGAGTTACTCCCATTCACTGCCCCCCGCTTTCTCTCCTATTCTGTTCCGTTCACCTGCTTTAATTGTCCTCCGCATGTGTGTGAGGGTGCCATAATACCTTCTACACTTGGCACTTGCCTTTTTACGCTTCTTATTTATGCATTCCGTTCATTTATTTTTCATTTATTGTCTCCGTGTGCTCGGCATTTGCATTTCTGCTTTTGCATACTTTTGAGCGGCGCACCAAATGTTAATCATACGCCGCGTTGTCTGTCGAATCTCAAATTGAATTGCTTTGATGACAGGTCAGCAGCAGGCTGGCTTGAGCTTAAGTCTTTAAGGGGAGCACCTGCTTTGATCTCGGCCGCCTGATAATCAGTCGCCCGAATGTTTTTCTTATCAATTGGCAGGAAATCTGGGCTTGAATCCCGGTGTCAGCAAATGTCAAAGATCCCGTCGGCAGCCAAACAAAACAAGTGTAACAAAAAATACATTCGAGATGACAGCAGCGGCGGCGTGAAATTTAATCAAATAAATTAGCAATAAAGTTTTATTTTCGCGTCTCCTGCGTTACACGTTGCGTATACGTAATGTCGGAGCGCGCTTTTATTACCCGTCAGCTTTTTGCGTTTGCAACGCACTGTTTTTAGGGTTTCCAGGTTTTTTCGAGTTCCTTTTTTGTCCGCAGTTTCAATTAACATTGTCAGTTTGATGCGACCCTCAGTTTCAACCGAATTAAAACCGTTGGGGAACGTATTAAGTCACGCACGGAAATGTACACGCTCACACATGTCAAGCTGTCGAAATGTCCATTTAATTAGGACGAAATGAGGGATGTGATAAGGGTGAGGATTAGGGATTTTTAAGCCACTGCCAGGGCCCGAACCTATTTATAAGCCGCCTTTCTCCCGCATTCTATATCCCTCTTTTGGGCCCGGCTCGAAGGAAGAAGTTAATTGAATTTTGTTTCTGTTTTACTTTCAGATTGCCTAGTGCGTGACTCCCAAATAGTTTGCAGACTGCGAGGCAGGTAAACATTAAATTGGTTTGGAAATACTTTCAACTGCGTTGGCGGAATCCATAAGCCATAAATACGTGCATAAATTTGAGCTCCATTAGCGGTTTAGAGGCGCCAAAAGTTCTGGCAGCGATTATTAAAACCATTGCCAGCCTGCCAGCACATTTACCATTTAGAAATCAAGAAGGCACTTTGCTTGTTTTGCGTCGAATAAGCTTACCTTCATATTTGTTCGCACACTTCTGCAACTAAATAAGTTAGCTTCAAACAAACGACAAATAGCAAACCAGAATGCAAATACACCAGCAAACTCAAGCCCGCAAAAGTATGCAACGAAATTTTAAACTCATGACGCAGCCAATTTATATGCACGAAAAAGAAACGAATTGAAACGAATCAACAATGAATTGAATACAAAGTCCTCGGTTACAATGCTCGCAAGTGGCGTGGGTTCGAATGTTTGATGCCCTATAAATGTAGTTTTGTATTATTTTCTGCTGAAAGCCCTGTCAAACCATGATGGTTTAGTATACCATTATTTTAAATGTGAATAAATTCGATATTCAAAAGTTGTAAACTAATTTTTAAACAGGAATCTTTTTATTTGTATTCACAAACCAATTTCATTAAATTGATGCTACCAACCATCTGCTGGGCATCTTGAATGGAAATTCGAAGGAGTTTTAGCGAAATGGAAAATTGAAAAACGCTCGGCGAAATGCGATGATTTTGCGGTCTCCAGCTGAACTGATGCGTATCGGTGGCTTAGGCCCTGGACAAAGGGCATAAATCATGCTGTATTTATCATAAATCAAATTGGATTCTCCTCAACAGGCCGCCCACTTGCTCCGCCCTGAAATTCCGATTGGGACTCGAAAGGGCAGCTGGCTGATGTGTTTGCTTGGCGCGCATATTTTATTTATGATTCTTTTCCAGTTGAGTTGCGAATTTGTTTTGTCTCTATCTGTCAGTCCTTCCGCCTCGGCATCGATTCCTGATTTCCCTGATTTTCTTCATCAAATCAATCATTGTTTCATAATAATTGGGAGTCGGGAAATGTAAAGCAGGTGAAAAGGGAATGGCAGCTCGACTGACAACCAATGGCCAGTAACTTATACGATTGGCGTGGCATTATCAACTCGTTGAAAAAAGCCAAAGAGCCAAGAAGTGATAAATGCGGTCAGAAACCCATACTTATCGCACACTTTGCTCCGACCATTCCCACAAATTACTCGACACTTTTCCTAGGGCACTCTGAATGCGAAATATCTGGCAGTCATCAGCTATTAGCTGAACAATAAATTCACTTCAACATTTCTCATTCGGCTCCGTGGAGTTCGCTTTCCCAAAGGTTCAATGATATGTAAGGTCAGCAACATTTTTTTTGTTTCGTGGGTTGGGAACTTATATTTCTTTAAAGAATTGTCTTAATAGGCCGTTAAATTATATTTAAAGTACCAAAGCGTTGACTGTATCCCATTTTTTATGTTTCTTAATTTCTATCAATAACATTTTCTTGTTGCTGCAAGACTTAAAGCATTTTTTTTATGAACCCAGTGCAATTTTAACATGTCACTGAGTATTTGCCAAACGGGGATATTAGACCTTATAATTTGTTCATCCTCATTTTCACCGTATCTGGTAGCGAATAGTCGAGACCGGAAACAGAGGTTTTCGTGTATTCTGCAGATGGTTCTATTTGGATTTGTGGCACTTTTATTGAACACGGACCTGCATTAAAAAAACATATTTTATCGCACTGCGAAAACTTGTTAGCCCGGTGTTTTTACGTTGTTTTCGTTGTTGTTTCTGTTCGAAAGTAAACAACCTTTTTCTCTTTTAACACCAGTCAGACACCAGGTCACTTTCGTTTGGATTGCTGTAGTAATATTTCTGATAGCCCCTCTGTTTAATGAATTTTTGTATTTAATGAATGAACAACATGCTTCTTGTTGCTTTCTTCTCTGTGTGTGGGGGCTTTTTGTCTGTTCTGTTCTGTTCTGTTTGTGAATTTTTTCGTTTTCCCTTGGCAATTGATTGGAAATATTTCTTTTCATGTTTTTCAATTTGAAAGCCCAAAACAAGAGTGTGCAGCAGTGGGGAAGGTAAAGGGGCAAGTGGGGTGCTGCAGCCCCTTCGGCCCCCTCACAATCTCAGTGGCAAAGTGCTTTTGAGCGATGGCATATGAGCTCCCCATTGTTTAGATAATAATAATTTTTGCCATTTTATTTCGGTTAGCTGGGGGCTCTCGCCTCGATTTATGTTCTCCGGCTGACCGACAGCAAATGTTAGCTTATAAAGCTTTAATTTATTTTGTTTGGATTACTGATTATTATCTTGCCCGTAAATATGTTAGGATTCTCTTATGATGATTGCTCGAGCGGAACATATCGGAACATACTCGATACCACAGTTAAACGTCGATTATTGTTGCAGCTGAAATACATTTGGATTAGTTCAATGCGGATTTCATGCGAAGTATATGGCTCAACCGCATATTGTTGTTCTGTTAGTTTTGTGGAGGGAATGTGCAGAACTGGTGAAGTGCAGTTTTCCACTGTTAAATAGGTGGGCTTTCTCTCTCTCATCTATGCAGACTTCCCCTAGCTGAATCTATAACATACCAGCTGAGCGCCATTTTTGAATTTTTAAAAAATCAGGGTAATTGATTTTTATAAAAGTAACATAAAACTAACATAAACATAACTGCATAAATAAAATGCTTAAATATGCACACAAGCGTCTGCCAATATTGAAAACTACATTTAACAATGAGTTAATTATTCACTCAAATTGACTTTTGTAAGCAAGGTAGTTGGCTAATATTTATTTATGACCCAGTCGCTAACACATTGTAAATGGGCATATTGGCCTAGAGATACTTACTGATTTTGTTTTTGTAGCACGACAACAACATCAAGATGTAAGTTCCCAGCTTTCCTTTCACATGGAAAACTTATAGATTAGTAGTTAATTTCCAATATAATTAAGTTATGGTGAGGTAGATACACTTTTTTACGACTGAGTTAGGTGTGTAAATGTAGTTCTCAAACGGCAGGTGTTTAAACGAAGTGAGTTAATTATTTGTAAATAAAGGTAAAAATTTTTAGCAAACAGCATGCAAGCTGTCAGTGCGATATGGCAAATATTTGACTATTGCTACAGCTACTGCCAATATTTAATAGCTTAACTTTCTTGATTTTTCCCCTCAGTATTCTGTATTCCGCTTTCCCGATGTTCCCAAGCGAAGTTGGGCTCTCGCATGCGATTTTCCAGAGCAGAGTTCTCTGGCCGAGATTTTCCCCGCTGCTAACAGAGGGCGCTCTCTCGTTTCCCAGCTGAATTTCCCCGCCCTGCAAAGCAGAGAGAGAGGGAGAGTGAGAGTCAGAGCGTCCCACTGACACAGTGATAAAGAATGGCCGCTGATAACGGCGCGCAGCTGTGTGCGTGAGAGAGAGAGCGCGCTGTTATGCCGTGCAGCAATCGGATAAACCGACCACTGTTAAGGCCGCACAGGTACGAGGCTCTCTGCGAGCCGCTCGGCACTCGCTGCTCGGAGGTCGGCGGTCGCGTTTCCAGTTAAACTTTTACCGAAAAGGCGGACGGACGGGTCGAAATCAATCGTCGGGCTCCGCAGTTTGTACGCAATTCGGCTCCTGAATTCCTGACAGCCTCCCGCAGAATTCAAATAACTTAAACCATTAAAAGGCTAAGCAAACAAGAAAGTGCTGATATGTTCAAGTTCTATTGCAACTACCACAAGAAGAACGAGGAAAATTAGGCACAGAATTCAAAAAATTCAAACCACTTGAAATCAAAATAAATAAGTGAAAACATATTCAGGAATTATTCAAATGAAAATACCCACAGAAATAAGGAAAAATTATGTCTGCTTGTGCTACTTGAAATAAATGAAAAATTCAATGCTATTAGTGTGTGCAAAACAAAAATAAATATCGGCAAATCTTTGCGTGTGTCTACATAAGTTTGAATGGAAAAGTGCTTAGAATAAATACATAGGCCGAAAGTCGAAACAACATCCAAAAATCTTGGACAAACCAGTGCAGTTTTCTTTTAGATATTTCCCAACGCCAGCGCTATTATTAAAGTAATTTGTACGACACTTGCCACCTGTTCGACGACTTTGTGAGGTCACAATTTATGCAAACGACTTCGAGAAGAAAGCAGATTCGATCCACCCAATCCCCAGCAAAAGTGAGAGTGCGGGGAGTCGATGACCCAGTGTAAGTCTCTAGTCCAATATTGTTCTGGATTTGTTTACCCCGCGTCTTTTGTTTGGCACCTCAACGCCGATCTGCCGACGATCTGTGTTATCGCCAGTGTTTGTCGGAGATTTAAATATAGATTTATGGCAGGCAGGCATTAATTGGATTACCCAGCGCGTCTTGGGGCATTACGGCTGATTGACCTAGAGCAAGGGGAAATAAATAGGTGCCACTTGCACTAAGTGACGTACACAGTAGTTTTCCCGTCAGCGCTCTGTGGGAATACACTGCTCCCTTTCGAGGGCCCTCGAGCTACTGCTACTGCTACTGATATGCACAAGCACTTCAGCCGGCATAGCTAATCAAATTACAAAGTCACAACCGCTTGATTTGATAATTCAGTTAGGTTACGGGCTTGTGAGGCATGTGCCGTGTCGCAGGTGCTGCCGATTTGGCATCGCTTCGGGACGAATGCAGCAGCTTTGTCTTAAAAGTTGGCCAAATTACCTCCGGACAGATGTGCACCCGACGTGCGGGTGCGGCTTTTGTGTATAAATTTACACTTAACTGCAGAACAACAAGCTTAATTGCCCGAAACCAAATAAAACTCAGCATACCAGTGGCTCTGGTCTGGCTTTGGGGGAGCCGTCGACTGGGCCAAGTTTTTAGGAAGAGCTCGAGTACCCATCATAAGGGTGTGCCGAAGTGAGAGTTTGTAACTTTTGTACTTACTATTCAGAAAGAAAAAACACCCATTACTACCCAATGCCGAAAATCAAGGAAATGCAAAAGAATAATACTTGTCAAGCATCCAAACAAAATATTTTTGGACTTCCGAGGGGGAAAACGAACGCACAAGGTATCCCTAAGTCGCCAGCAGCCCTGGCGATTGTTTAAAATATTCTTAGCTGTTGCAACAACTGCCGCGCGCATCCTTGAACATGAAAAGTGAAACGAGAGTGCTGCCAAAAGATGGCGGGACAATTTGGGCGGGCACTTACACTAATTACAGGCCGTCACTTAAAGTGAGTCACGGCCACGTGGGCACACGTGTTGGCCAGCTTAAAGCATTAAGGCGGGGATGTCTGAGTGACACACTTTCCGACTGCCGGAGCTGCTGCTCTTTCATCTATTGTAAGTTGACTCTCGAGGAAGAATGGCCGGCACAATGGGGCGTGTGCGTAATACGGTCGACAGTTTTCTGCATTCACTGCATTGTCTGCCCGGAATATTGCTCATACGCCGGGGTGGCTGCTGCTGCAAAACAAGCGGAACGCTCAAATCAAAGGCGACAACCCGCAACAATGGGTCTCAAAATGCCAGCAGGCACGGCGGAAATATAAAGTAAACTATTGTTTTGCACATTGCGTCAGTTCCTCCGCTCTCCGTTCCCCGTTGTTTGTCCTAGCCAACATTGCGCATACGCCGAGTCTGGCCAAAGCGACACCCTAACAAGCTTTTAATTAATTAATAATTCTCCGGCCGAGGAACTAAAGACAGGTCAGCCGGGCTAGTCGCTCTTCCATTGTCTGCGCGGCTGCTGCCCACGCTTATCGTAATGGCCGAAAAGTTCTAATCGAGGCAATTAACGTGGCCAAATTTAATTTCCGTCCCCAAACGCTATCAGCCACCGAAACAAAAACAGCGAAAAGAAGACGAGGCGGCCGCTAGCTTTTTATTTACAAAATATTAGTTCATGCCCGCTATTGGGAAATCCATCATGTAAGCCTGGGATTTTCCGGCTGCATGTGTTTTCTGTTTGTTCGGGGCTTTTCCGTTTGTTGCTGCTATTTGTTTGTACCTTCCTCTTCTGCAGCCCTGATAAACGAGCATGGCTTCCAGGTATTTTCACTGGAGTGGAAGTTTGAGGAGTCTGCCTTTGAGTGGCCATTAAGCAAATTACTTATGTTAATTAGTTGCCACGGCTAATGAGAAATCTCAAGGATTTGCAGTCCGTGATAAGTCAAATTTAAAGAGGAGCGGGCGAAAGAGCCTTTTCCTGATTATCCCCTTGCCGACCCAATTTGGCCCTGTTGATTTATGATACCAGATTTACCCAAGCGAAATCTCAACTTGAAAGTCAATTTCACAAAGCCCCGGGCCTCGCCACACAATGAGAATTCAATTTCCCCCTGCTCACCCTCTTCCCTGGGAACTGGCGTCCTTTGATTCATCAAATTGCATTTATTTGCCAGATGAGCGGACTGCAACAATGGCGGTGCAACAGTTTGCAGCCAGAACGCATTTGAAAAACGGCATAAATAAATAATGCGAAACAATAATTGAGAAGCAGCTTGGGTTGGCAGATATCCTGGCTTTTCCTTGGCAGATTGGAGCAATTTCCATTTCAATTTGCCGTAAACTATAATCAATTTAAGGGGGTAGCGAAGTTTACTAATTTTCGAGTACAAATGTTCTGTTGTTCGGCCGCAGGATAAATTTTAATCTGAGATCAGATGTTTTATAAATTGGTTTAGCAATTTTAAATGTACGCAGACGTGCTTTACCATTTATCCGTTAAACCGGTTATTGAATTATTTTCCCATCTCATTTGTGCTTAATCATTGGCTGTTGTCAAAATCCCTTAACCTATTTAATGCCACGCATATGTTTGCATTAAAATGAAAAGGCAACGTTGGATTTGTTACCCTTAAGCCGCACAATAATTAAAAACGTAATTAGCTCCGTGCAATTCGCATGCATTAATGTATTCAAAATGCCGGCAGCCCAGATTGGATGGGATCGAAAAGCCGGGACCTGGAAAGGCTTTCAGGTCAGTGCACCAGTTGGCAATAATTTCATTAAAACCAACTTTGGTGCCCAGCCTGCGGTCTGTTGAAAGAAGATTAATTACTGACTTCATTTTACTGTGCAGCGTGCCAGAGAAACCGGGGCGAACAACAGGCTATAGAATTCAGTATTGACACATAATCGGCTGTGTGCTGCAATTCATAAAAAACTAATTAAGCCGCCTGAATGCGGAAAAATTAATTCAAATTGCAGCGCCTGGCCGTTAGCAGTAATAACCGAACATTAACTCCAGTGCACAATATATCTTAATTTTGCGCATAATTAATGCCTGCAATTAAGTTTGCTCCCCACCTGCCTCCCTGCCCCATTCGAAGTACAGTACACACACACGCTCCGGAGACGTAAACAATCCACTTAACATGCTGCGAAATACCATTTGATCCTGCCATCCATCTCCTGCCGCATTGCGTATACGCAGTGGGCGCTCCGAGCCTTTGGCAACATTGTGTCACGCACATTATTGATGGTCCTGCTCAATCGCTGCGCCTTGAGTTTCCTCCGGGTCTCGGTTACGGCTTTCGGTTACAGAGTCCCCGGACTCTCCACGGCATCTGGGCAATTACGGCCACGGGTCTCTGTTTATTAAAACGACATAATTGCGAATTTAAGCCCGCAGCTCATCGCAGCCTTGACTGGCTCCAATCAACTGGATCATCTGCGGCCTGCTGTTGGCACTTCGGCCCTCTTTGCCCAGTCAGCTTTTAAAAGTTTTCCCGGGGAAATCGGCATACGCAGCGGTCAGAAGCAGGGAACTTTGGCCTGCCGAAGCAACGAAAACACGCCTCTCTTTTCAATTATGATTAATGACCAGTAATTAAAGCCATGAAAGCGGCCTCTGACGAATATACAAATTGATTAGAGGTGGACACGTGAGTGGCGGCCGAGATTAGCAACTCGTTGAAAGCTGGCTACACTCTAAAATGATAGCTAATCACTATTAAAGTAAGTTAAGTGGAATAACCGGAGCGAAGCCACATCGTTCCATAATGTCTCGGTAATAGAACCCAAATTTGTCTTAAATAATTCGTAGGTAAATTATATCTTTTGCGTAAATTGATGAACTCCGAAACCGAACTCAATCCCTGTTGATAGTTAACCGCTCGACTCAAGGACTCGGCCTGGGGCTGTCGAAACTTCGAGTCAGACACATTGTCTTTTATTAGCCAAATCGTACACACTTGACTGGGGCCGAGTGGACCCAACCCGACGTCACAGAAGTCATTCGGCATAAATCAGGGCAGCGTCCTCCGACCCGAGGAGATGCTCAAGTGTTTTGGCTTTTCATTAATTAAATTGCAGACCACCTTTCTGGCCGGATTGTTTATGTTTTGATTAGGCATTAGCAGGGTCGGGCCGAAGCCGAAAACATGTTCGGGCTAAGTGCAGACCCTGGAGCTTCTTCGAGTGGATCCTTGTCCTCCTGTCTCGAGGGTGCATTATGGGCGGCCAATCGTGATGGGGCTTGCCCCGCAGACCCATTAATCACCGGTGATGTCTGGCAAGACAGCCGCGAGTGTTTGCCCACTGCGCTCTTGATGGCTAATTGCATACAAGCCACCCGATTTCGTTCGTCCCGGCAGAGCACGTAATTGTAGACATCTTGTACTACCTGATTGTGTGTTAGCCAGACAACTGCGAAGAGTTCGCGGCGTGTGCTAATTGAATTGTAATCGACTTTGGCATGCAATTAGACGCAGCACTGCGAGCTAAAGCGCCAGATGAAGTATATGGCATGCAAGTTGTTAAACTTGGCTATATTTATACCATTTGTTAGCTTTATAAACTGCCAACAAGAAGGTAATCAGGCGCGGCAGGCAATTAAAAGCTTTGCTCTTCCAACTCCGATCACTTGTGCACACAAGCTGCAGTTATGGTTATGCCACAGTCAATGGGATGAGACCAGGAAAATGTCAAGCTGCAGCTGCTTCCCTCAAATAGCCACAGTATCTGCGAGTGTCAGCTGCGAGATTTCGCGAAACAATGCGATTGAGCGCGGCTCCATTCCGTTTGGCGCACTGGGCGTATGCGTAATCCGCGCTAATGCAACCCCAACTAATTGGCTCAGTTAATTAAAGGGCCACGCAGAGAACTGCTTTAATCGATCAGCAGATGGCCGGGGCACTTGTATGGACTAGAAATCGTGGTGTTTGACTACTTTCGTTTTCATTACTCGAGCAACTAGTGACTCAAAGTTTAGGTTCTCGTAA